GACACACCCCCCGCCACTCGCCAGGAGTCTCCGGAGATATCGGCCAGGGACTCTGCAATCACCTGGGAGCCCTTAGATCCGGCCCCTGGATTTCTGCACGTCCAGCTTTCTAGACAGTCCCAACCCTGTTCCTTGTCCGCCAGGGCGGCTATCTGGGAGCTGTCATTGTGAAGCATTGACTAGTTCAGCTTTTCCCACGTCATAGGGCCCTAGCGACTAGCTGTCTGGTCAGGGCGGATCGTCACCACGGTGCTAAGGGCGACTCGCTGTCTTAGCCGCTGTGCAGACCAAAGCAAGACAAGCACCAAGAACTTCAGCTTTTCCCACTTCACTCTTGGGCCAGGCGTCCATTCCGGGCTGGCCCGTTGTCCTCCGCTGTCTCTGGAACCCCCGGCCTCAGCTCTGCCCCTTCTCCCCCAGCTCAGACTGATTCATATCCACCCTTGCAGGAGGGAGCCCAGAGACTTGCATCGGGTTCAGTGTAAGGGCTCCCCTGGCCAGGGCAAGAAATCGCCTGGGCCCCCTGGGCCCCTTGGGTCAGCCGGGCTACGTTCCTCTGGCCCATCCCTAGCAGAAGGCGCAAAGTCCACGTGGAGATCCATGTGCCAGCATGGCCCAGCCAACGCCTGGCCTCCAGCCCGTGCCCACCCGGGGCATCGCAGCCCTTTACCCTGAGAGCCCAGTTCCCGCCTAGCAGGCGCCGAACGCTGCTGGCTGGGCACAGCTGAGGACAAAGGGCGGCCCCTGGAATCCCACGTCCTGATGGGGGATCCCCTCATTCAGCTGCTCTTCCCCTGTGCACTTCAGATCCCCGAGGGCTCTGCCTGTCCCTGCTCTGCCCAGGTGCCGAGGGCTGGGGCCCACCTGGCTTGGCCCATCGTTGGCCAGGCGCGGGGCAAAGATCCCCTTGAAGTTAGCGGGGCAGGATCAGGGTGAGGGCCCCAGGTCTCCTCCTTCTGCCTGCCTGAGTCTTCTCCCCACACAGGCTAGGCAGACACTGCTACAGAGCTGCCCTGCCACACATCAGCACCCCACGTAACCACTGCCAGCCACTGCCCTGCCCTGCCACACATCAGCACCCCACGTAACCACTGCCAGCCACTGCCCTGCCCTGCCACACATCAGCACCCCACGTAACCACTGCCAGCCACTGCCCTGCCCTGCCACACATCAGCACCCCACGTAACCACTGCCAGCCACTGCCCTGCCCTGCCACACATCAGCACCCCACGTAACCACTGCCAGCCACTGCCCTGCCCTGCCACACATCAGCACCCCACGTAACCACTGCCAGCCACTGCCCTGCCCTGCCACACATCAGCACCCCACGTAACCACTGCCAGCCACTGCCCTGCCCTGCCACACATCAGCACCCCACGTAACCACTGCCAGCCACTGCCCTGCCCTGCCACACATCAGCACCCCACGTAACCACTGCCAGCCACTGCCCTGCCCTGCCACACATCAGCACCCCACGTAACCACTGCCAGCCACTGCCCTGCCCTGCCACACATCAGCACCCCACGTAACCACTGCCAGCCACTGCCCTGCCCTGCCACACATCAGCACCCCACGTAACCACTGCCAGCCACTGCCCTGCCCTGCCACACATCAGCACCCCACGTAACCACTGCCAGCCACTGCCCTGCCCTGCCACACATCAGCACCCCACGTAACCACTGCCAGCCACTGCCCTGCCCTGCCACACATCAGCACCCCACGTAACCACTGCCAGCCACTGCCCTGCCCTGCCACACATCAGCACCCCACGTAACCACTGCCAGCCACTGCCCTGCCCTGCCACACATCAGCACCCCACGTAACCACTGCCAGCCACTGCCCTGCCCTGCCACACATCAGCACCCCACGTAACCACTGCCAGCCACTGCCCTGCACATAACAACCGATTCATGAAATGAATCTGGCTGCCTCAGAAGCGCACTGCCGGGGCGACCGCTCTCGTCAGTGTTGCTAGTCCGTAGGCAGGGCCCTTGCACGGAGCGGGAGGTTTCATGGGAAGCGCTGCCGAGGACCCCAGGTGAGTGGCCATGTGGAATCTCACAGTCACAGAGCACTCGTGCTGGCAGGACCTCGAGGGTATCGAGTCCAGTCCCCGGCCCTCATGGCAGGACCCAGCACTGCCTAGATCAGGGCTGGCCAGCCCAGGGCTCGCAAAGCTGCCCAATGCCCCTAAAGCCGCCCCCCGGTTCCCGGTTCCCTGCGCTCACTGTCCAGGGCAGAGAAGCACAATGGTGCCGACAAGATGGCACCGGCCGACGGGAGCCTGATGTGGCCAAAAAGCCACCAGGAGTTTTGTTTAAAGAGGTTTTTTTTTTTCCTCGACCAAATGTGGCTGGGGCTTTCCTTTTTCCTTTTCCCTCAGCCCTTTGCGCTTTCCCCCCAACTGTTGTGGCTCTTTGCCTTTAAGGGGTTGGCCACCCCTGATCTAGATTATCCCTGAGAGATACCTAACTGACCGGTTACCTATCTTCTTGTTATCTTCCAGATGTTTGCAGATGGCTTCCTTAATTACTTGCTCTATTATCGTCTCTGGCATAGACGTTAAACTGACTGCTCTGTAGTTTCCTGGGTTGTTATCACTTCCATTTTTATAGGTGGGCACTAGATTTGTCCTTTTCCAGTCTTTTGGAATCTCTCCTGACTTCCATGACTTTTCAAAGATGATAGCTAATGGCTCATATAACTCCTCTATCAGCTCCTTGAATATTCTAGGATGCATTTCATCAGGCCCTGATGACTTGAAGACATCTAACTTCTCTAAGTAATTTTTAACTTGTTCATTTTTTATTTTAACTGTAAACCTACCCCCTTCCCACTAGCATTCACTATGTCAGGCATTCCTTCATCTGACTCCTCGGTGAAAACTGAAATAAAGAAGTCATTAAGCATCTCTGCCATTTCCAAGTTTTTTGTTGTTTCTCCCTCCTCACTGAGCAATGGGCCTATCCTGTCCCTGGTCTTCCTCTTGCTTCTAATATATTTGTAGAATTTCTTCATTTCCCTTTATGTCTCTAGCCAGACTGAACTCGTATTGTGCTTTCTAATCTTACCCCTACATACCCATGTCCTTTGTACTTTGACCTAGTTTCCACTTTTTATACGACTCCATTTTTATTTTTAGATCATGCAAGATCTCCTGATTAAGCCCAAGGTGGGCTCTTGCCATACTTTCTATCTTTCCTATCTAGTGGAATAGGTTGTTTTTGGGCTCTTAATAATGTCCCTTTGAAAAACTGCCAACTCTCTTCAGTTGTTTTCCCATGGGACCTTTCCTACCATCTCTCTGAATTTACTGAAGTCTGCCTTCCTGAAATCCATTGTCTTTATTTTGCTGTTTTCCTTACTACCATTCCTTAGCATCATGAACTCTTATCATTTCATGATCACTTTCACATAAGCTGCCTTCCACTGTCTAATTCTCAACCAGTTCCTGCCTATTTGTTAAAATAAAATCCAGAACAGCTTCCCCCCAGTAGCTTTCTCAACCTTCTGAAATAAAAAATTGTCTCCAATGCAGTCCAGGAACTTGTTGGATAGTCTGTGCCCCACTGTGTTAGTTTCCCAACAGAGGTCTGGATAGTTGAAGTACCCTATCACCACCAAGTCCGGTGCTTTGGATGATTTTGTTAGTGGTTTAACAAAAGCCTCATCCACCTCTTCTTCCTGGTTAAGTGGTCTGTAACAGACCCTTACCATGACATTAACCTTGTAATGACATCACTCTTGGGTTTTTTACCTATTTTAAACTAACCCAGAGACTCTCAACAAATCTGTCTCCTACGTCCATCTCCACCTCAGTCCAAGCGTTTATATTTTTTAATATATAAGGCAACACCTCCTCCCTTTTTTCCCTGCCCATCCTTCCTGAGCAAGCTGTACCTTTCTATACCAATATTCCAATATAAAGTTGTAGCTATGAGGTTACTGTTTAAAACTCTTCCATAATGTATGTTACAATTGTTCTTGGGTGAAATTATTTAGTTTATGATGAAGTAGTTTTACTGTAAGTTTACTTGATGAAATTGTTATAATGTAAGATGATATGTGGATATTCTATATTGAGTTAGTAATGTTGGAGACTGCTTTGTTTTGTTCTGCCTTGTTAGAATTGTTCCATGTTGTTAGAAGTTTGCTTTCAAAACTATTGTGCTGGGGGTTTTTGTGTGTGTGAATGAGATGTGTGGCATGAGAGTAGATTAAAAAAAAAAAGATACCAGCCAATTACAAAAGAGACTGAAGAAATAAAGGTGCCAGTATCGTCATCCTATCACCATAACATCTGAACAATGCAGACTGAATACCCTGAAGTGCAAAGGGCACCCGCCCTAAATCAAGAACAAGATATGAAACCAGGCAATTAAGTACAGTTGTGAAAACAACCAGCTTGAAAACTATCCAGAAGCTATTAACAAAGAACTGTGAAAACAACTGAGGAACAATCCAAGCATGACACAGCCAGTCCACAGACTTACATGAGGCTCTGTAGCTCTAAAAGAGGGCGAGAGCCAGGGGGCTTTGCGGTCATTCTGCAGTAACAACGGAGCATTGGAACGTGTCTCACGGAGGCCCGGCTTCCACTCATGTTTAGTCTAGCGGGTCACTAGGCTGCACACTCGCATACACCACCTTTAGTGCGGGGTTCCCATTTTAAATCAATGCGGCACGTTGCTTTGTACCCTGAAAATATCCCTTGAGTTTCTACACACATGACGTTTTTGGCAGAGACAAGAAGGCCTGCCTCATAGCGGGCTCCCCCCTCTTAAGAAGCGGCCCCACAAATAGCCCTTTCGCCCTAGGGGGCCGTGGGAGCTGGCAGCCGTGCTGAGCGGCTGCTGCGTGTTCATGCACACCACAGGCAGAGTTCTGGGAGTGGGGAAGGACGGGCATTGCCAGAAAAGCAAGCCTGAGGTGCGGGCAGCCTGAGTGCGCAATGCCAAGCGTTCTGCAGAGGGGACAGGAGAGGAGCAGCTCCGGGCTGCCCCCCAAGGCAGGGAGCCAGAAGGCTGTTTATCAACGGGCGACTGAGCTGTGCTGTGCAACCTGGGGAACTGCAGAAAGCAAGTAGCCTAAATGACAGAGGGTGTGTCTAGACTGCACCTCTCTGTCGACAGACAGATGTAGATTAGGCACCTCGAAATTGCTTATAAAATGAGGCTTACAGGCTCTTTCAGGCTTTCTTTTTCAAAAGATCCGCGTCTAGACTGCCGGGGGGGTTTCGAAAAAGCTCCATTTCGGAAAAAAGCGGTGGCCATGTTTATGCTAATGAAGCACGGGATATTTAAATCCCCGCTTCATTAGCAATTTTAACGTGCCTAATCTACATCTCTCTGTTGGCAGAGAGGTGGAGTCTAGACACACCCGGGGTATGTCTACACTACCCTCCTAGTTCGAACTCATTTCACGAGGAGTAACGGTAGTTCGGACTAGGAAGCCTAGTTCGAACTACCTAGTTCGTGCCCTGTGTAGCCGCGCTGCACGGGGTTCGAACCAGCGGGGTATTAAAAATGGCGGCTCCCCGCTTATGCAAATGAAGCCCGGGAAATTCAAATCCCGGGCTTCATTTGCAAGTGCGGTATGCCTACATTACCCCGCTAGTGCGAACTAGGAGGGTAGTGTAGACATACCCTAAGGCACTTCATATAGTTTAACATGAGAAATTATTAGTTAAATTCGAGAAGATGGGGATTAAACATGAGAACTGGCAGGGGATAAGGAACTGGGGAAAGGGAAGACGACAGCAGGTTACATTGAAAGGGGAACTCGCAGACTGGGGAAAGGTTACTAGTGGAATTCCTCAGGGATCAGTATTGGGACCAACCCTACTTAACATTTTTATTACTAACCATGGCACAAAAAGTGGGAGTGTGCTAATAAAATCGGTAGAGGACACAAAGTTGGGAGGCACTGCCAATACCGGGAGGATGGGAATAGCATACAGCAGGGGCAGGCAAGATATGGCCCATGGGCTGGATGCCACCCCCTAAGCCTTTTGATTTGGCCTGCACCCACCCCTGCGGCAGGGATCAGTGCCGCTCCAAGTGGCTACCTGCTTCCTGTGGCTCTCTGCGGTGCGGAGTGAGAAGGGAGGGAGAGTATTCAACACGCTCCCCACGCCCCCAGCAAAATCTCTCTACTCCTATTGGCCAGAAATCAGCCACTGGGAGCTGAAAGATTTTTCTGGGGGAGGGGCAATCACAGAACAATGTCTCAGCTCCTATTGGACGGTTTCTGGCCAATAGAAGCTGAGAGAATTTGCTGGGGGTGGGGGACGGCGCAGAAAGCCTCTCCCAGCAGCACAGACACCACGTGCACAGCCGGCCAGTGGTGTGTGCCTCCTGGGGGAAGCCTGCCTGAGAGGGCTGCTGGCGAGAACTGCTTAGGTAAGCACCTCCTGGCCAGAGCCTGCCTTTGGCACCCCGCCCCTTCCACTCTCCAGCCCCTCCCAGAGCCCGCACTCACGCTTACATCCCTCCCCCAGGACCCTCTGCACCCTCCTCCCTCCTGCCCAGGTCATAACTCCCCCCAGACGCTGCACCCACAATTACATCCCTCCCCCCAGCCAGAATCCTCTCCTGCACCCATTCCCCTTCCCAGGCCCTGCTCTTCAGTCCCTGCCTCAGATCACAACCCCCTCCCTCAGCAAACTCCTTCTCTGACCCTACATCTCTCCTGCACCCCAGTCGCCTACCCTGAGCTCCTGTCTGCACCCAATCTCCATCCCAGAGCCTGCACCCCCTCCATAGAAAAGTGCAGCCCTTGACTACTTACCAAAATCTTGGACTGACCCCCCATCAAAAATTATTGCCCCCCCTGCCATACAAGAAGATCTGTGTGATCTTGTACACTAGAGTAATAGACATGGGATGATATTTATTAGTCCACAAGTCAAGACACCTGCCCACTCTCCCAGTGCGCAGCAGATGAGGGAGGGGTGGGCCCACGTCCTGGGGTGTGCGCTGGGGGCGGGCCCACGTCCTGGGGTGTGCGCTGGGCTCCGGCAGAAGGGGCCAGTCTTTCCCAAGGGTGCGTTCCCCAGGGCCACACGCCGGAGCACAGGGCTCTCGCGCAGGGACTGGCGGGGAGCTGTCAGGCAGGGCTGGCCCGATGAGCCTGCCACAGCCAGTGAACCAAACCCAGCCCAGCGCCTACCTCGTGGCTCCATGCTTGGCACAAGCCCGGAGCCCCCTGCCACAGCCAGTGAACCAAACCCAGCCCAGCGCCTACCTCGTGGCTCCATGTTTGGCACAAGAGCTTCTCGTGCTCTGCGGTGGGATGTCCCAGAGACAGAGAGCGGCTGGCCCTGAGGAGACAAGACGGGGCGTGAGGGCGGCGCCAGAGGGCCAGGGACTTTGTGAGCACCGACAATGCCCTCGTCAGAACGGGCCTGAGCAGTCAGACGGAATGAGCCCAGCCGCCCGGCATCGTCCCAAGCACAGTCCTGGACTCCCTGCCGCCCTGGAGCCACGCAGGCAACGTGACACGTCCCACCCATAGCGGAGGGCTGGGCAGAGCGAGTGGGAGGCTGCCGGGAGCGGGGCCCCAAGCTCCTCACTGGCGGGGACGCGGTGTCTCACGCCTTCCTGTTTGGCTCCCCCGGCGCCCGAGGGATGAACAATTCGATATGCGAACTAGCTCGCCCAGACGCCCGTGCGCTGGCTCCTGCTGCAGGGACGAGTCTGCACGAGCAGCCAGCGCCCCCAGCTCCTTGCACAGCCCGAGGGGCAGCCCTCGCCCGGACGGGCGTCCCACGCTCACACCCGGCCCCGCCAGCAGCCACACGTACCTGGACAGCACCACGGCCATGGCATAGATGTCAATGGCAGCGTCGGCCACGCGCTTCAGGTGGAACTGTTGGTCTGGGAGAAGCAGCTGCGGTTAGAGGGGCCATGGGTGCACATGCCTGTGACACTAGTGACAACTGACACCATGGCTCAGCCAACGGCTTTCCCTGCACAGACACACTGGCAGGCCAGGCAGAGCTACCTGGATGTCAGGGCAAAGCCGCCCACCGACCGCAGAGCCCGGGGGGGGTGATGCCACCAGAGCCTGGCACAGGGAGCTCCCCTGGCTACTTGGCTCTAGCACACAGCTGGGAGGGAGCCTTCTCCTGAGCCACCTGCTCAGCAGCAGAGGGCTGCGTGTCCCCACCCCCAAGAATCCAGCGACCACGTCTGCACGCTCAGCTCCTCGTGGGGCCTGGGCACCCCAGGGCAGGATATGAATTGTTGCAGCTGCCCAGGGCTGCACTCTGCTGGGCGTTGGGCGGAGCAGGGCACAGCCCCCGACCTGCAGAGCTTTGGGAGAGCGGCGTGTGACCGCGAAGGGCTCCGAGGGGTCGGGCTGAGGCTGAAGGGGAGAGGAGAGAGTGCAGGCGCCGCAGGAGGAGACAGCCCAGCGCTGGCTTACAGGTTTCCCAGGGGCTGGGACACACGGCGCGCCGGGGCGGCTGGCTGGAAGCGGACGATGCTACCGCAGAGTCACCCACCTATCACCTTCTCGCCGTGCTTCAGCAGCAGGCTCTCGACAGCTTCCCCAAACAGGTCAATGGCCCTCGTCACCTGCACAGGCCACAGCAGAGCAAGTCATGTGGGCTGAGCCCACGGGGCTGGGGCCAGTCGCGCTGTGCTCAGACCTCGGAGCCACTCAGCCCTTGGCAAGACCTTGGGCAGCCTCCAGGCCGCTCCACGTTACACCACAGCCTGGACGGTGGCCCGGGCATTACTCGCGTGCGACCGAGGAGCTGGGAGGAGCGACCGGGCAACGGCATCGGAACAGGGAAATGGACATTCGCTTTCAGTGACTCGGGGGTTGCGTTCAGCTAACACTTCACAGACACCGGCTTCCCGGTTCATTCCCCGCGGGAAGCCAGGCACATCCCTGCAGCAGACGTTAGGCGGATGCTGCAAATCGCAGAAACGTCGCCACTGCTGACTAGTCTCGACCAGGAAAACGATTTGTTTAAAATGCTCCCTGGAGCGCTGCAGGAGGCAGCAGCTTTATTCACGGCTCCCCCAGCGCCAGCGCCAGCGCCAGGCTCAGAGCCGTCTGCCCCAACGAGCTCCCTTACCAGGTAGGCACTCTTGTCCAGGCCTGGGTGAACAACGCCCTCCAGAGACAAGCCCGTGGGGATCCCGACTTTCCTGCCAGGGGGAAAAGAGAGGAGCAAACAGGACAAAGGGTTTAGAACACAACTTGGCAGCCCCTTCAGCCGGGTGTAACTGCGCAGCACTCCCTGGGGGCTTCTGCACTCCAAGGTCCAGTCAGCACAGTGGTGATATCCCATCTCCTAGAGCTGGAAGGGACTCGAGAGGTCACCGAGTCCAGTCCCCGGCCCTCACAGCAAGACCAAGCACCATCCCTGGCAGGTTTGCCCCACATTCCCCCCCCAAGAGCTGAACTCACAACCCTGGGGTCAGCAGGCCACTGCTCACACCACCGAGCTACCCCTTGTGCAAGGCAGCTAAGCCAGCCCGAGGCCTCGTGTAGCCAGCGCTACGAGAGGCTGACTCCTTGGCCAGCCTAGGTGCTGCCTCAGGGAAGAGCCCCTGGGGTCGCCGTATTGGGTCTGTGCTGTGCGCAGCGCTGACGCTGGCGTTCCTAGCACAGACTCAATCTGGCCAATGTCATTTCAGGAATCCAGCGCTAACGTTCCCGCCTACCGCGAGCGCTGGCGTTCAAAGGACGGCAGGTCAGCGCAGCTCTGCACCTTCTGCACATGCCCCACGCCTGCCATTCCGTGCACGGGCACTGCTCGGAGGCCGGCCTCGCCCCAGTGCAGAGCTCCTGCGCAGGCAGCCGGGTGTGAACGCTTGCAGGGCCTCTTGGCCAGGCCACTGCGTCTCACACTCCACCTTTGGCAAAAAGTGCTACCAGGACTCAACCAGGACTGCTCAGGAGCTTGGTTTTACCACGGGGCCCGAAGGAGGCGCTGTCAGCCTCGCAGCGCCCGCTGGTGCCAACCTGCAGGTCCAGGTCTCTACTAGGCATTGGCTCCTGCCTCCCCAGCATGCTTCTACCTACACAGGGTGCTGGAGGGCCCGGCGGGGTCCTGCGCTCCAGGCGGGAAGTGGTTCCAGCACAGACAGGGCTCACGTTTGGTTCAGTGGCTCTCTGCACCCCCATACACCCGGGTCCAGCACCGGGCTCGGGACCGGCCAGTGGGAGCAGCATGTTCTCTTGCCCCACTGGAGCAGCGAGGCACATGGTGGCCTGCGCCCAGGGCCACTTACCGCTTTGCTCTCATCCCGATCTCTTTCAGGATGACCTCTGTTTTCCCCGATGGATTCATGACCGTTGCTCGCAGGTTTTTTAACTGGACCCCTGCATACTGGAATGTTGGGAAATGATGAAAGGGGTTGAATTACTCTCAGTCCTAGGCCTACACCCGCACAGGGAAAGGTTCAATGCTCCACGGCGACACCGGGGATTTACAGCAGGTTTGCCTGTTGCCTCTGGACTAACAATACACTAGCAAAATGTGAAACTCGTGGCTTTATTTTCTGCAGCTAACCATATCTCAGGGCCCAGCTCTGTGACCCAGCCTGCTTGCATCCATGAAGGAACAGTTCATATTACACAGGACACAGATTTGGGTCCATCCGAGGAAGCATTTATATATACTGCACTCCCAGCAAGGGCTCTGTTCGCTGAGGAAGAGAGCAAAGCCTAGAGCGCTAACAGCTGGGAAGGGGAGGTGTCTATTGTCATGATTCTGAGGGTTAGCCAGCAGCCTGGAGTTTAAGGGGTTAACTACACCTAGCCAGGTGGAGTGACCACTAGGAATGTAGGTGGGACTTTCAAACTGGGACAAAGAAATTTGGGTTTTTTTTTGTCCTTTCTCCTTTTGTCTCTCTGGGTGTGTCCTCTGCAGCTACAGAGAGGGACAAGCACGTCTCTCTCTCCCAAACACCATTCCTCATTTTCTGTAAGTAGGGTAAAGTTTAGGGAGTTTCGTTAGGTTTTATTGTTTAAGGGTTGGGTAGGGATCTGAGATCTGGCACTGCTTAAAAGATGTTTTGGCTTTTCTTTGTAACTAAGTTCTAGGCCTATGGAGTTTCTCCATGAGTATATTTTGTTACTTTCCCATCTAGTCATTATGCCTGCAACAGGAATATTGTTGTAATAATAAAAGTCTTCTTTTTTCTTTTTATTAACCTGGCTTTGGTTACTTGTGTGTCCTGATTTTTATAATAGGGGTGAGATTTCCCAAATGATCTTTCCCCTGATTTCTTTATCAATATTAGGGTGGTGGCAGCGGAAGTTTGATTCCCAAGATCTAGGTTTTTAAGATTTTGGGGGAAGTTTTATACCAAAGCCTGGTAGATAAGGTTTTGGGGTACACTTGCTGGCTCCCACTTCTGCATTTATCATGCCAGAGTGGGGAAGGAGCCATGACATCTATGACAGGTGACAAATCTGCGGAACCGTCTCAGACTGAGGTGTCAACAGAGGAGGTTTAGAAACAAACTCATCAATTAAACAGTCACGACCCTCGACATTACAGGCCAGCGAGTCTCTCTTCAGTGCCAGGCAAACACACAAACTCTGGCAAAGAACACAATCGCCAGACACACAGATGTACAGAACTGGTTGGGGACGAGCCAACATGGCTTCTGTAAAGGGAAATGAGGCCTCGCCAACCTATTAGAGTTCTCTGAGAGGGTCAAGAAGCACAAGGACAAGAGGAAGCCAGTGGATCTAGCGCACCTGACCTTTCAGAAAGCCTTTGACAAGGTCGTAAGCAAACACTCTTAGGCAAAGTCAAGAGATCAGAGGGGAGGCCCTCTCGGAGACCAGTAGCTGATGAAAAGACAGGAAGCAAAGGGTAAGAACAAATGGTCAGTTTACACAGGGGAGAGGCCCCCCAGGGTTCTGCACCAGGACCAGTCCTAGGCAGCACATTGGTAAATGATCTGCAAAAGGGAGAGAGCAGCGAGGCAGCAAAGTTTGCATTTGATACTAAGTCCAAAGCCGACTGCGAGGAGTTCCAAAGGGATCTCACCAAACTGGGCGAGGGCACGACCCAATGGCAGATGAAAGTCAACGCTGATAAATGCGCCCCGGGAAAACACAGCCCCAAGGACACGTCCAAAATGACGGGGTCTCGCGTAGCTGGTTTCACGGGAGAGAGAGATGTTGGAGACATTGTGCATAGTAGGGCTGTAAAGTCCGGCGGCGTCAGTTAATTGGTTAAACGTTTAACTGGTCGACTGATTAAGTGGGATCCTGGGTGGGGTCCATTCCAGCCCAGCAGGAGCAGCCCCCGACCCACGGGACTCCTGCCCCCAGCCCTGCATGGGAATGGCTGCTGGCTCCCCGTCCCCGCTGCCAGCAGCGTGGGGAAGGGCTGCTCCTGGGTAACTGGTTAACCGGTGTTGCTTACCAGGTAATGGTTAACCAGTTCCCCATTCACACCCGTAGGGGATAGTTCTCTGAAAACATCCGCTCAATGAGCAGCAGCCATCAAAAAAGCCAAGCGGAAGTTAGGCCCCATTAGGAAAGGGACCGAGAATAAGGAAGGGGCATTGTGGTATTTTCCATCTTTCCATGCCCACCCCCTTGACAACTGTGGGAAGGGCTGCTCGCCCCATCGCAAGAGAGATCGGTTAGAAGTGGGAAAGGGAGGAAGAAGGGCAGCAAAAGGCACTGGGGGCCGGAGGAGCCGCCATGTGAGGGGCAGGGGACAGAGGGGCCGTGGGGCTCGGACAGGGTGCGTGGAGACCATGAACAAGAACCTGTCCTTAGCCCTTCGCATGGGCAGAGCACAAGAGCTGGGCCCTCTCATGTCACTGGAGCCAATGGGGCTGACTGGGGAGAGCAGGATTGGGCCCGTGCTTTCAGCAACGGGCTCTCGCCCTAAAACTCAGGTTCCCCCAGCCCCTGCCCAGGCCTCCAGTCACTGCTGGGGGGTGGGTGGCGGGCTTGGTTCTGCGACTTCATGCGACTCCCTCCCGCCATGCAGCATGGCTCTGGGGCTGGGCTGAGAGTCAGTCTCCCTGCTGGGCACTTTGGACTCAGGCCCACCCCTGCGACCCAGCTCTCCGCCTGCAGGGCTCTCAGCGCATGGATGGGGGCACGGAGGCAGCGCTGCCAACTCCACCAACATCCCTCCCCAGGGCTCCAGCGAACACGCTCGGCAGAGGATGCCCCACCGGCCATGGTGCGCTTCCTCCATCCCACCAGCCAGAGGGACCGCCCTCCCCCAGCAGCCTCCCCAACGCCCGGGGTTGTGGCTGGGGCAGGGACTCTGCTCTCAGGCCCGGGGCAGACTCCTGGCCCCTCGCCCAGCTGGGCAGTGCCAGCTGCAGCGCGGCTTCCCTCTGGGCTGGTGCTGGGAAATGGCAAGGCCTGATAGCACGGCCAGGCCCCTCACCTCAATGCCCGTCAGGGCCACAAACAAGCGGAGGATGTCATTGGTGCCCTCGAAAATGCGGAAGATCCTCAGGTCTCTCAGGACTCGTTCCACGCCCGTTTCCTGCAAACAGAGAACCCGGTAGGCCAGCTGCAGCGCGGCTTCCCTCTGGGCTGGTGCTGGGAAATGGCAAGGCCTGATAGCACGGCCAGGCCCCTCACCTCAATGCCCGTCAGGGCCACAAACAAGCGGAGGATGTCATTGGTGCCCTCGAAAATGCGGAAGATCCTCAGGTCTCTCAGGACTCGTTCCACGCCCGTTTCCTGCAAACAGAGAACCCGGTAGCGCCCCCACGAGCCAGGCGGCCTCCTGCAAAAAAGGGGCACAGTGCAGGGGGCGGGCAGCTGCTACTCTGGGCAGCCCCGGGGCCTGCGCCTGCAACAGCGCGGTGACGGAAAGGGGTCCCGTCAGCTACCGGGGCTGGGCCTGCCCCTGCCCGGGGACCGTGCTGGTTCCCACAGCCGTGCAGCCCCTGAGCAGAAGGAGGCCTCTCGCATGGCCCAGTGCCCGGCCTGGGCTGCCTCTCACTGCTGAGAAGGGCGGCTCGGGCTGCCCTGCCGACCCAGGCTGGCGAGAGGGGCGCCCGCGGCTCCGCCCCTTTCCCCTCAGGGCACTGGGCAGAGCACTCGCTGGAGAAGGGCAGGGCTGATCTGTGGGTTGTGCCGCCGAGGCCCCGGGCGGCTCCAGCAGCAGGGGACAGCCTGGGCTGGACTGAAGCCAGCGCCGGGGGACCCTGCTCGGTCTCCCCTGCGTTGTCCAGCTGGCTGGGCAGAGGGATCTCCCGGGACAAGGGCTGGAAGCAGGACAGGCCGAGCGCAGGCGGGGGGAGCTGCTCTCCAGCTGCAGGACGGGGGCCCAGCTGAGGTCCTGCTAGTGCAATCCCTGGGTTGGGGAGGGGCAAACACGTCCCTCCCTTCCGGGGACACCGAGAGCCAAGCCCTGAGCCCGCTACGCTCAGCACCGCCCCAGGCCGACAAGCCTCCCTCTCCCGCCCCCCGTGGAGACGCGCCTGCGGGAATCAGACACTTACCGAGGCAAAGATCTTGCTGATGGCAGCTTCCAGCTTGTAATCCGGCACCTTCATGTCCATGTTGGCGCTCACCACGTAGGCCATCGACTGCAGGGAGCCACCATGGGCCTGTGGTGACCCTGAGCCAGACACCGTCCCGCCCCGCTACGCTCAGATCTGCTCCGTCTCCCCGCCCCAGCCCCCTCGCAAACCCAGCGCTTCCCTGCAGGGACAAGGCCCGCCCTGGCCGCCCCGAAGGGCACGGCCTTTCCTCCTCCCCCCGCCTCTGCATTTGCCAAGCCGGGCGGCCAGCGAGGGGCAGGCGGCTGCAGCCCTGGGCCCTTGTCATCATTAGCCTCCTTGCCCCGCTCCCCACCCAGGGGCGCTCCGCCGTGTGTCCTCCCTCACGCCGATTCGCCTGCTCGTGCTGGGCCGGGGCAGGGCTTGCCAAGTGCTCAGTCAGCGCCACGCGCAGGGGCCGGGCCCAGGGCAGCTGGGCACTATGGCGACAGCCCCGGGCTGCTCCCAGCGGGTGCACGCAGGAGAGTTACCGGCCTGGCAGTGGAGCTGGCTGGCACCCGCGCACGCCAGAGCGCTGCCAGCGACCCTGCACCCGCTTGGCGCCCCACGGCCCCGCCAGCCGTGGGGAGTGCTGTGCCCGCGTTCCAGTGGAACCGGGAGGCTGGCTGGGGGGGCGAGGGAGGGTCCCCCTCCTGCGGGGGCAGTCCCTGAGACTGTGGGACCCTGGACGGGCTGGCTGGCTGGGCGGGCGGGGGAGGGTCCCCCTCCTGCGGGGGCAGTCCCTGAGACTGTGGGACCCTGGACGGGCTGGCTGGCTGGGCGGGCGGGGGAGGGTCCCCCTCCTGCGGGGGCAGTCCCTGAGACTGTGGGACCCTGGACGGGCTGGCTGGCTGGGCGGGCGGGGGAGGGTCCCCCTCCTGCGGGGGCAGTCCCTGAGACTGTGGGACCCTGGACGGGCTGGCTGGCTGGGCGGGCGGGGGAGGGTCCCCCTCCTGCGGGGGCAGTCCCTGAGACTGTGGGACCCTGGACGGGCTGGCTGGCTGGGCGGGCGGGGGAGGGTCCCCCTCCTGCGGGGGCAGTCCCTGAGACTGTGGGACCCTGGACGGGCTGGCTGGCTGGGCGGGCGGGGGAGGGTCCCCCTCCTGCGGGGGCAGTCCCTGAGACTGTGGGACCCTGGACGGGCTGGCTGGCTGGGCGGGCGGGGGAGGGTCCCCCTCCTGCGGGGGCAGTCCCTGAGACTGTGGGACCCTGGACGGGCTGGCTGGCTGGGCGGGCGGGGGAGGGTCCCCCTCCTGCGGGGGCAGTCCCTGAGACTGTGGGACCCTGGACGGGCTGGCTGGCTGGGCGGGCGGGGGAGGGTCCCCCTCCTGCGGGGGCAGTCCCTGAGACTGTGGGACCCTGGACGGGCTGGCTGGCTGGGCGGGCGGGGGAGGGTCCCCCTCCTGCGGGGGCAGTCCCTGAGACTGTGGGACCCTGGACGGGCTGGCTGGCTGGGCGGGCGGGGGAGGGTCCCCCTCCTGCGGGGGCAGTCCCTGAGACTGTGGGACCCTGGACGGGCTGGCTGGCTGGGCGGGCGGGGGAGGGTCCCCCTCCTGCGGGGGCAGTCCCTGAGACTGTGGGACCCTGGACGGGCTGGCTGGCTGGGCGGGCGGGGGAGGGTCCCCCTCCTGCGGGGGCAGTCCCTGAGACTGTGGGACCCTGGACGGGCTGGCTGGCTGGGCGGGCGGGGGAGGGTCCCCCTCCTGCGGGGGCAGTCCCTGAGACTGTGGGACCCTGGACGGGCTGGCTGGCTGGGCGGGCGGGGGAGGGTCCCCCTCCTGCGGGGGCAGTCCCTGAGACTGTGGGACCCTGGACGGGCTGGCTGGCTGGGCGGGCGGGGGAGGGTCCCCCTCCTGCGGGGGCAGTCCCTGAGACTGTGGGACCCTGGACGGGCTGGCTGGCTGGGCGGGCGGGGGAGGGTCCCCCTCCTGCGGGGGCAGTCCCTGAGACTGTGGGACCCTGGACGGGCTGGCTGGCTGGGCGGGCGGGGGAGGGTCCCCCTCCTGCGGGGGCAGTCCCTGAGACTGTGGGACCCTGGACGGGCTGGCTGGCTGGGCGGGCGGGGGAGGGTCCCCCTCCTGCGGGGGCAGTCCCTGAGACTGTGGGACCCTGGACGGGCTGGCTGGCTGGGCGGGCGGGGGAGGGTCCCCCTCCTGCGGGGGCAGTCCCTGAGACTGTGGGACCCTGGACGGGCTGGCTGGCTGGGCGGGCGGGGGAGGGTCCCCCTCCTGCGGGGGCAGTCCCTGAGACTGTGGGACCCTGGACGGGCTGGCTGGCTGGGCGGGCGGGGGAGGGTCCCCCTCCTGCGGGGGCAGTCCCTGAGACTGTGGGACCCTGGACGGGCTGGCTGGCTGGGCGGGCGGGGGAGGGTCCCCCTCCTGCGGGGGCAGTCCCTGAGACTGTGGGACCCTGGACGGGCTGGCTGGCTGGGCGGGCGGGGGAGGGTCCCCCTCCTGCGGGGGCAGTCCCTGAGACTGTGGGACCCTGGACGGGCTGGCTGGCTGGGCGGGCGGGGGAGGGTCCCCCTCCTGCGGGGGCAGTCCCTGAGACTGTGGGACCCTGGACGGGCTGGCTGGCTGGGCGGGCGGGGGAGGGTCCCCCTCCTGCGGGGGCAGTCCCTGAGACTGTGGGACCCTGGACGGGCTGGCTGGCTGGGCGGGCGGGGGAGGGTCCCCCTCCTGCGGGGGCAGTCCCTGAGACTGTGGGACCCTGGACGGGCTGGCTGGCTGGGCGGGCGGGGGAGGGTCCCCCTCCTGCGGGGGCAGTCCCTGAGACTGTGGGACCCTGGACGGGCTGGCTGGCTGGGCGGGCGGGGGAGGGTCCCCCTCCTGCGGGGGCAGTCCCTGAGACTGTGGGACCCTGGACGGGCTGGCTGGCTGGGCGGGCGGGGGAGGGTCCCCCTCCTGCGGGGGCAGTCCCTGAGACTGTGGGACCCTGGACGGGCTGGCTGGCTGGGCGGGCGGGGGAGGGTCCCCCTCCTGCGGGGGCAGTCCCTGAGACTGTGGGACCCTGGACGGGCTGGCTGGCTGGGCGGGCGGGGGAGGGTCCCCCTCCTGCGGGGGCAGTCCCTGAGACTGTGGGACCCTGGACGGGCTGGCTGGCTGGGCGGGCGGGGGAGGGTCCCCCTCCTGCGGGGGCAGTCCCTGAGACTGTGGGACCCTGGACGGGCTGGCTGGCTGGGAAGGGGTTTTGCAGGGGGAGTTTGCTGGGGCTGTGAGTTTGGTGGATCCCAGGCTGCTTCCAACCTGGGGGACAGGAGGAATTGGACTAACGAGCTGGAATTTGGCCAGGGTCAGGGTAATGTGGCCCGAGCTGGTCTATGGGAGTGTTGCCATGCTCCTGTCCCCGTGCCACCCCAGGGCACCGCTGGGAGCCTGCTTCTTGCACAAGGGTTTCACGCCAGCCTTGGTGGCATCACTTCCACTTTGCACCAGTGTGCACAAGCACAGCATCAGTCCCAGAGAAATGAGGGCTGCCCAGTGCCGTGCCACCACCTGCTGGGCTCTCGTCCGATCATGGGGCCCAGCGGATCAAATCCGGTCTCTAGGATACTGGGGGTTGGCGCGCCGGAGCACCGGGCACACACGCAGTAAAGAACAGCGACTAGCCCCGGGGCTCACTTCTCTCTTCCACTCCCCGGGGAGAACCGGGTGGCAGGGGGCTGCTTTGCTTTTCGCTCTGTCTGTTTGTGTGACCACACGGCTCTTAGCAGAGGAGGCAGGGCAGAGAATATGCCTGGGGCTTGGCGAAGAAGGGGGAGGTTTGGGTTTGTCCTTAGTCCATGGGGGATTCACTCCACACTGGGGCCAGCCCTCGAGAACGCCCCGTGCCCCCGACAGCTCTACCGTGCCCGCGCAATGGAGCTATTGACCATGGACATGCTCCTGCGATTAGGAATTTCTCACCTCCGTTACATAGTGCAGCATGGCCATGCGGGCGACTTTCTCCTGAATAGCCCCATAGTTGCTGATGGTGTCTCCGAACTGCTTACGATTAGCAGCATGGTCAACCTGGTGGTACAAAAGAGCCCGTGATCACAGCCGGAAGCTAATGCAGTCCAGATGGGAGCAATGTTTCTGTGTCCGAGCCGCAGGATTGGGCCAAACCTTTCCATTTTCAATAACATTAGGTTGGCTAACGATACTATAACTGTGTAGCCTGTGTCAGCAGAGCCTGCTGGTCACCCGGGGGCTCCGGCATCCCTCCCGCTCCCACAAACACCCTCTAGTTCAGGGACTCACTGCACCCCCACATTCGCACCCCGCCATGGGCTCATGTATCTTCCATTTCCCACTTGCAGGTTTTCCCATTTCCCCAAAAGGAATCGGGTTCTGTCCAGAGATGCCGTTGGAAATGTGGACTCGCTGGACACAGTGTTCCAAAGGAATCACACTGCACCCAGCTAGAATGCCAACAAGCTGACTGTAAGCGTCTCGTGAGCTCAGCCATTAACTCAACTCCCGGCCCAGCGCCAGCCCAATCTCACCCCAGGACACAAAAAAGAGAGCAAGAAGAACTTCTGTCTCAGGCCAGGTCTGCATCCGAAGGCTGGCGTAAGGTCCACAGCTCCAGCTATGCAAATAATGCAGCTGGAGTCGACATACCTTCAGCCAAGCATGGTGCCCTCAGCGTTTGATTTAGCAGGTCTAGTTAAACCTCCGGTGTGTGGCAGAGATGTGGCCTCGCAGACTAACCAACCCGCGCATCTAAACTAAGCTAAGGCCCCGAATCTGGAGAACCCCACTGAATCGTCAGCACCACATACGTGCTTCAAATGAAACACAGACATTCCGCTGCAATTCTGCCTGTTTAAATGCGGGTCTTTGACCTGCCAGCTCTGCCAGCATCAGCTCCTGTCTCGCTGGACACCCGCCTAGAGCCTGCAAATCTGCAGGTGTGCTTTAGATCCCCGGGAGCCGCAGCCAGGGATGCCAATGCAGATAACCAGGGCTCATTTCTGCGGATACGGGAGTGGCTGCGGATACAGGGGGCTCTACGCATGGAACATGGGCTTCTAAGAGCAGGGAGCACAGCATGGTAGAAATGTTGAAGATGCCCAGGATGCCAGAGCCTGCACCCCTCCCCCACCCAAACTCCCTCCCAACTACCTGCGTAAGGCTGGGGGGGAGGGGGATTGGGCAGGGGAGGGGTGCAGGCTCGGGGGGGGCAGGAGGGAGTTTGGGGTGGAAGGACGGACAGGGCGGGAGGGTGATGAGCGGGCACGGGGCAGAAACCCGACCCTCCCACAATAACAGCCGAGTCTCGCTGACTGCTGCGTTCTCGCGCCGGATGGGGGGCCTGCTGGAAGGACGTACAGCTTTGACGATCACTCCGCGCATGGTGCCCGACAGGGCGGAGGCCATCCCAAAGCGCCCGTTGTTCAGGATGTTCATGGCGACCATGAAGCCTTTTCCATGCTCCCCAAGCAGATTTTCCGCTGGCACCTTCACGTTGTCGAAGTGAACCTCAGCCGTGTTGGAGCACTTGATGCCCATCTTCTTCTCCGGGGGGCCGCTGGCAAAGCAGAGCAGAGCCGCAGAGGAGCGCTGCATGCGCACTGCTGCCTGTGTGCAGGCCACACGCAGTCGCCCCTGCCCCAGGCCCTGGCCCTGCCAAGGGCCAATGTCCCCAGCGCACGGTCACGGGGACTTGGCTCCTGGTGGGATCCAAGGTCCGTGGTGTACACGTGATACCGCCGGGAGTGCGCACAGACAGGTGTCGTGTACGTGCGGTGATCCTGCGTGCAGTAACACGCTAACACGGCGTCTGAGAGAAACAGGGACCAGCGGAAATAAAGTGAGTGACCACTGCCCATTTCTACATGCTCTGGGCCTCTTACTTTGTGCCCTGCACTGGACCATGGAGCTGCATGACCTCAAGCACCCTGCCACTCAGAATGCCAAGGCGTCCCGCCGTGTGCCTGTCCCGCTCTGCCCCGGGGAAGTTTCAAGGAGCCTGTGTATGGCCGATGGGCAGAACCGAACCTGGGACCTCAGTGCACGAGCCTCTACAGCATGAGCTACAAGCCAGCTGGGGCCCAGCTAAGGCTGCGAGCCTGTGAGTGGTCTGGGTGCGGCTAGCAGGGGCAGAGAGCCACCCCTGCAGGTGTGCGGGTTACACACAGGGGGTATGTCTACACTACCCCGCTAGTTCGAACTAGGAGGGTAATGTATGCATACCGCACTTGCTAATGAAGCCCGGGATTTGAATTTCCCGGGCTTCATTAGCATAAGCGGGGAGCC